GCTTTTGGAATTTATACGATTTGTTTGGGAGGAATAATTTACTTTGTTTTCTTGTGTGTTTTAGTGTTAATATAACTACTTTTTGGATTATTCCTTTTTTTTTTTAATTTGAGATACACCAAATCATACAAAAGACTCAACATTATGTCTGAGATTTGTTTTTAAATGTTTCCTGGAAGAGAAGTTTGGATTTTTTAACTTATTTTTTAGTTTTGTATTTGTTGTTTGGCCGAGGTGTAAAACAGACTATATGGAAACCTACTGCTCACCATTTAAAGGAATGCTCATTTGCTGCACAGCTTACTCCACTTTCCAGATTTTGGTCATAGGTAAGAACGTTTTCCTAAGATAGTTTTCAAAATTTGAAGTATTTCTTGTCCAAACAAAATTAAATGATCGTACACTCTGTCTCCAAGCCACGGATGTGACGTCCGCTAATGTTTGGGTGGAAGTGTTAGCTAACTAGGCTACGGAAATGTCTTGCCGAACATCTTTTTTGTTTTTCTCCACTTTGCTGTTTGTCGGTCTCTTCGTGTTTGTCTGTGCAGGTGAGATTTAACTATGAGAACCCAAAATCACTTTCGCTCTGACATAAAAACTAAGATGGATTATGAATTATTTTTATGTAACACGGTAACAAATTACAGTACGAAATTCAGCTTTCAAATACCACCTGTGAAAATCCCAGATAATCCTGAATTCACCATCCAAGATGGCAGCAGTGCCTGTAAACATTAGTAAAAGCTTGAAATTTAAAATCTTGTTACGCTTATTTAACCTCAGAGGTCTGATGGAGGTTGTACTGTGACATCACTCCTGAGCTAACTACCTTCCAGTACGAGTCAGAAAAGAAAGGAAAACACTATTTATGTTGCTTCTAGCTATCTGGAGTCCATGGATGTGGATGGACACCAACGACCTGTTACATGCTGGAGATCTCACTGATTTGTTATTCGGTTTTCTATCTGTAACTGGCCGTACAGCACGATGCTAACACAATACCACAAAAGTGAAAGTACAGATTACACGTTTTAGGTTTGATACTGTTTGTGTGCGCTGCCTCATTTTGTACTTCTATTTGAAAGTAATTCTGACTAAGAAGCAGAAATTGCTGACTTCCCATTTTGGATGGAAGCTACTGATCTGCACTGCTACTGTTTGTGAATTGTTAACCCTTTAAAACCTACCATAGAACCAAGTCCGCCAGAGCTTATATTATATTTTTACATGTTGTAGTGCCATTTTTGGGAGCATTTCAAGTTGATATACATCAATACAACCATTATAGCCCAAATTTTAATAATGTCTGCATTAAGTGCATAGTAATTACATACATTGCAAAAAAGT